CTCTCTCTGCACCCTCTGATCAGAAGCAAACGCATATCCAGATGCTGAATGCATGCTTCCGCGAGGCGTTGGGTAGATAGCCCTTTCCTCCCTGGTCAAAGTCACTTGCCATCTGTCGCTAGTGGAAAGCCTTGATAGGGCAGGCAAAGTAGGCAGGAAAATGAGGGGAGACAGCGAGGCTTTGGTACAACCCAGGCGGCCGTGTTAAGGAGAGGGCTGTGAGCCTATGAGCAGCGCCGATGATTCACGGTCACATTTCTCCATGTTCTGCTTTGTTTGCTTTTGAAATTTATCACTCGTCTGCCTTCCACTGAGCTCCGGAATGTTCCCATGGATCGCTAGAATTCCCATTTCCTTTCTTTCTGTCTCATTTAATGTATTACAGGTAACTGTGTTGCTCCCATCCTGTAAAATCCTAACTTCTTCTAGAGAATGAGAGGGAGCAGGAGGTAACTGATAATCACCAAGATTAGGGAGCTTCAGACGGGGGCTTGAGTAGGCTTGGTTGCCTTTCCATAGAAGATTAACTGACAAGGAGCAAAAGCCTTTGGAGTGCGCCCTCTTGTGGCCTGTCTTTCCCGTTATTCATCAGAGAAAGTGTGTAACTCCTAAAGGCATCCTTCAGGAAGGACATTCACAGGAAAGCCCACAAGACAGCAGTGACATGGTGAACTCCACTTGGAGATGGTTTTCTTGGGGTATAGGAAGTAGTCACCTGAGAAGGCTTTCTTAGACTCTTGATTGAGAGTCCAAGTTTCTAAGTCAACACTGTAAATACTATCATCTAAGAGGGGAGATTTATGTTGCCTTCAACACCACCTGACCTATGAGAGTATTACCCATTTCTTGGTGTTTTACTTCTCTGTCTTCCCTCCCCTTCCTGCAATAAGAGCTACCAATTGCTAAGCTAATTACCAGGATCTGCATCCAGGTAGGATAGCATATGGGGACTGGATAGTATATTGTCATGATACATTGACTGGCCAGCTACTGCTGTGAATCAAAATAAGATACAGTAAAATATATCAGCCAAGAAGGCCATTAATTTTAGCATCATTGATAAGTATAGTAAGAGCTAGCTTGACTTTCTTTACCACTTCCGCCTTTATTCACTGGAATCAAGTTCAGAGAGTCTTAGAGCAAAGCCTGCAGCTTAACCAATGACGACTCCTACCACCTTGCAAAGATGAAGCCCTGTCTACCCACACACAGTGGGACAGACCCAGGTCAAAGGGACCCAGGCACTTCAGCTCTTGTAGTCCCTCTACTGGCATGGCCATGCCTTGGTTTTATTCAGCAATCAAGGACAGATAAGTCAAAAAGTAAACGTGTGTTGGAGGAATCCTGAGACTGAAAGGTGCATGGATCGGTATGCACCTATGGTGTGCTCGTGGGTGACACTTACTGGCTGGATGCTATGCTGTACAAAAAGAAAAGAAAGCGCATGCCCTTTTTTACTCTCCCCAAATCTTGAGATTCCATATAGTTAGCATGTTATTAAAGTTGGATTATTCCAAAAGAAGCAAGACTACGGACCTTTGCTATTCATTTTAACATATTTGCTACAATCATTCAGATGATAAGTATCTTTCCCGGGTCAACAAAACTGGCAGCAAAATGTCCCTATGAAACTCTACTTGGAGAGAAGGTCGTGCGGATAACAATCATGAAGCCCGTGCAATTACATTAAGTCAACTTGAAGTTGATACATCGAACTCCTCAGAGGAGAAATAAGCAATTGTAATAAGCCTCTTCTCAGAATCCAAAGTTGGGTCGTACACTCAACTAGGAGGCGTTTCTTTAAACTTTAAACTTTAGTCAACATGTAAGTTCAAAGAATTGTCTTTTTAGAAAGCAGCTCACTTTCCTTCCAAACTAAACGCCTGACAGAAAAGTACAAAATGGCAAGGTCTCATATAACTGAGAAAGATTGGCCCTGGGATGTAGGCCATAAACAAGAACGAACGTAAATGGTCAGACTTTTCCACTGCCCAATCTCTGAATGCTAAGAGTAACTCATAGGAAGTCAGAAAAGGCGGCACACTGCTAGCATCAGCTGTAGGTACACTTGGCCCTGCAGGGCGGGTAAAGCCAATGGGGCAGGAGTTAGTATCTGGGGCCATCATGTACAGAGCTTGCCTTTTGCAAATACATGGGGTCGTTTTGTGTCAGGATGTCGAGCAGCCTTCTCGCCCGCTGGGACCCATTCCACACACACAAACCAATGTCATCACATGGAAAGATCTACTTCACCACCGTGGAAGGTTGAGGAAGTGGGTGACCACTTGGAAACTCCAGCTGACTTTTTTCCTCAATCACCTTCGGAAGATCAGGTCGCAATGATCATGCCCTTCAGGGGAGCATCAAGAAAGAGGC